TGGAGGTATGTCAGTCTGTTCCATGCCTCCATGCTTCAGGTCTTATTTTGTTGGTTCATTCGTTTTGTTCATTAGATTCCACAAATAAGTGAGATCCTGTGATATTTGTCTTTCTCAGTTTGGCTTATTTCGCTTAGCATAACCCAAAGGATAAGAGATCCCTCTTTTCTCTCTCTCTCTTTTTTTTTTCTTAAAGAAAGGGACAGGGTGGTAATTAAAATGTTTCTTTTTCCTCTCAGTTTTTGTTCAATGCCATATATGTGGTTTTATTGCAGTCACCCTGTATGATTCCACTCTTTTCATTTTACCTGAAATCAAGAGTATTTTCCATAGTACTAAATATTCTTAGAAAATGTATTTTTTAAAAGTCAATGGCATTTCTGTGTTTGTTTTTTAATTTTAGGATATACAACCTAATTATATCCATTGGTTGAATTACAGGTAGTAAAATTACAGGATTTAAAAGGCATATTTTTAAAGATGTCAATAAATATAACCAAGTGGCCTACTAGTCATGTAGGTGGGCTCAGCTTGCTGCCCTTCTAGCTGGCATGGAGCAGTATCTTGAAAAATACAACTTTGCCCACTTACTAGGTGAACATAGCTATTTTAATTTGCATCTCATCAACTACCAATGAATTGGAAAACGCAGAGATAACAACATTTAGAAAAGGAAAGTAGTTTACTTGCAAGAAATGCGAGACTTGGAAGGACCTGCTCATCAAATAAGAAAACGCAGCAGGTCATTAAAGCCAAACGCTGAAAAATCACCAAGGTAACTGAACTCATAATTGGTACGTTCATTGCCCAAAACCAGCAATTTCCTTACAGGGTTATCATTTCTGCAAAAGCTGTGGCCAGGCTTCAAACAGCAGCATTGCAAACGTCAGGGATAAAGCTGTTTGCATTAAACGGTCAGCAACTGAGGCAACGCTCAGGGGTCCATTCATTGGGGGTGGGGGCAGGAGGCTGGAGTTAGACACCTGAAAAATGTTTACTGTCCCCCTAACCATGGCACTAAATGGAGCCAAGATGTGAGTTGTGCTTCCACAAGATTTTGTGTGTGTAGGAAGGATCACATATTTCATTTGGAAATATGTATAATGTGGGGCAAAAGTAGGTTTACATTTGTGAGTACGTGAAACACCGAATTCATTCTTGTGTTATTTTCTATTAATTATTGTATCATTTTCCATATGTACAACTGTAAACCCACTTTTGCCCCCTCTTTCGTTTGTATCTTTCTTTTCTATCTGAATGCCTTTTATTTCACCTCCTTGGGTAACTGCCTTGTCAATTAGCTGAAGGTTGAAGAGAAGGAGTGAGAACAGACCTTCTTATCTTGTTCCTGATCTTAGGAAGAAAACCTGTCATGCCCCCACCCAATAAGTGTGATGTTAGCTGGGGCTCTGTTTTGTTTTGATCAGGTTTAGGAGCGTCCCTCCTGGTCCTAGATTATTGTGTGTCTCTTTCATGAAAGGTTGTTGGATTTGACCAAATGCCTTTTCTCTGTCTGTTGATGTAATCATGTGGCTGTTTTCCCTTTTCCAATGCATTGATTGATTTTCATAGATTGCCACCTTGCAATTCCTGGGATAAATCCCACTTGGCCATGGTGTGTAATTCTTTTTATACACTGCTGGATTGTGTGCACCTAGTGTTTTGCTGAGGATTTAAACATCTATATTTATAAGAGATATTGGTCTGAGTTTCCTTATGATGTCTCTGTTTGGTTTCGATATGAGGGTAACACTGGCATCATGCAATGAATTGGGAAGTGTTCCCTCTTCGTCTACATTTGGGTTAAGTTTGTGACGAATTGGTATTTATGGTTCTTCAAATGTTTGGCAGCGTTGACCAGTGAAGCCATCTGCATGTGGGTAGTTTCTCTTATTACTCATTCAACCTTTTTACTTGATATTGGTCTCTTCATGAGCTTTTTTTTTTTTTTAATGGTTACACAATACTGTGTCAGATGGAGTGCCAGTTCTTAGATTTCTTTTGGGAGAATCAAACACGAAGAAGAGGGAGAGTGGCTGGATTCACACTTATGCAGGTGTTCTTTCAAAAGACTTCTAGGGCACCTCTGGTTGGTTCTGTACAAGGCCCTGCGGCTACCAAGACAAACAAAACAGTCAGAGGAATGACCCTGAGGAACACAAAGTAGACGAGTTGATTTTATTTTTTTAAATATATTTTTATTGATTTTGGAGAGGAAGGGAGAGGGAGAGAGATAGAAACATCAATGACGAGAGAGAATCATTAATCGGCTGCCTTCTGCAGGCCCCCTACAACCTGGGCATGTGCCCTGACCGGGAATCAAACCGTGACCTCCTGGTTCATACGTCGAAGCTCAACCACTGAGCCACTCCGGCTGGGCAACAAGCTGATTTTAGATCTGAGTTTGAGAGCTTGTTTGGAGGTTCTAGCAGGGGAGCGCAGCTACTCGTATACCCTTGACCAAAGACCGGTCCTCTCCTCTTCGACCGAGCGCGCAGCTTTGGGAGGGACGCACATGGATCAGTGAGGGAGGAGGGGGACACTCGCCTAGCCAGCCAGATCAGCTGAATCAACCCTGGCGATCAATGGGGTGACAGATGTCGCAGCCAGATCGCCCTCACATCCTAGATCTGAGTTTGGGCTGCCCCTCCCATGAGTGACAGGAGACTCAGGTGTGCTCCACACAGCAATGTCTTGGAGTCCTCTGGCACGTTCCCAGTTACCAAACACTCTCTCTTATAAAATCTCAGATCCTTAAGGACAACTTGGCCAAGTTCATTATCCCTCTTTCCAAAAACTAAGGAAACCAAGGTACAGAGAAGGCCAGTGTGAATTCAGACATTTAGGTAGTGCCTCTCCTCTACCAGCTGCAAGTAAGGCAGTAGGAGATAAAGATGAAATGGTGAGGTCCTTGCCTTCAAGGAGCTCTCAATCTGAGAGTGACAAAGAATCAGAGGTACACTTAAGTGTTACAAGTCTTTAATGGACATCTCTCCAGGGTGTGAAATGCTGGCAGAGTAGTGGGAGGCTCTGAAAAGGCCCCACTGCAAATGTGGCCCATGAGCTGTGGCTGGGAACAGCCTGGCCATTATAACAGGAAGTCATAAAAGTCTTTCAGAACTAGGGCGATCGTATATCCCAGTGAATAATCCTGGTTTCTTTGTGTTACCCCCGCTCCCCCGTTACTCTCAAAACATCCATTTGATATTTACATAGTTTCAAAGTATTTTCCTAAAAGATTATTATAATTATAAAGGGGAAAAAACAGTGAGTTTATAGTGGAGAAATCTGGCGAACACTTAACCCAGTGACCAAGGTTAACATCATCACTAATGGGACAAATAAACATCATGCCTCCTGATATGAAGTGCTGAGGACACAGCAGTACCTCTGGATACAAAAATACATCATCTGAATCTATTCACCAAGAAACAGCAGACAACCCCAAATTGAGGGACATTCTGCAAAATAACTGGTCTATACTCTTGAGAAATGTCAAGGTGCTGAAAGACGAGAAAGACAAAGGGCCTAGTCTAGATTAAAGGAGACTTACAAAATGACAACTAAATATAACACATAGTATGGGATTAGACCGTGCGCAAGGAAAAGAAAGAAACATTCGTGAACCACGTAGTGAAATCTGAATAAAGTCGGTGGATTAGACAGTCGTACTGTCATCATGGTAGACTGTCATTGGGTTTAGAGTGGATGGTAAATAATGAGAGCTCCCTCTCCAGAACCCAGCGAGAGCCCAGGTACACACACCCCAGCCCCAGGGCATGACCTTCCAAAAACCATTTTTATTTCCCTGTCTCTTGTCAATGAATGTTAGCTCCCCACAAGCTGATAGATTACCCGGTGCCCCTGTTCTGCCTCTGATCTCCACTCTATGGAGCACCTGGAAGCACCGGAAGTTGCTCCAGGGCTGGGAGGAGACCCCCAGCTCTCTGCAAACTCAACCAGAACTTTGTGGCAGTGGCCGGACAACCCATTGTCTGGGATTATCTGATCTCTCTCAGTAGGATTGCTTTCCTGTTGATACCTGATGCCCTCAACAATGAACATAAAAATAGAATTTTCCTGAGTAGTCCAGGGCTTTAACATGACCAACAAAATGGCTTAGCAGATGCCTTGGTTGAACTTAGACACTCATTTTTGTTTTGTTTTGTTAATCCTCACTCAAGGATGTTTTTTCAATTGATTTTTTTTCCCAGAGACAGTGGGAGGGGAGAGACAGAGACACATCGATTGGCTGCCTCCTGGGACAGGGACCAAATCTGCAACCAAGGTACGTGCCTCTGACTAGGAATCGAACCAGAGACACTTCGGTCCGAGGGCCGATGCTCTAACCACTGAGAAAACTGGCCAGGACAACCTTAGACATTTTTTAAAGGTTATTCTTTTTGACACTTACAATGAAAGAAATTGGACATTACATTCAAATGACCCAATTTTCCTTTCTAAAGTGGTGAGGCAGGGATTAGTGGAGGGGTGGTAATTTGGGCAACAGGTATTTGGGTTGATGTACATACATTACTATAGTTCTTTGTAACGCATTTATATCATGAATTATGTCCGATATGCTACAACCAGTCTAGTTACACTGAAGTGCCATAACTCTGGAAAAAGTGATCAATTGATTTGGAAAATAGCAAGTGAAGGGACTTTTTTAAAATGTCAGAGAGAAGTACACATTCATTCATTCAAGATTTTCTGGAGGGTCTTTGAATTGGTGTGGCATTTCATAGGGTACTGTTTATTTTATTTATTTAAATATATTTTTATTGATTTCAGAGAGGAAGGGAGAGGGAGAGACAGAAACACCAATGATGAGAGAGATTCATCAATGGGCCGTCTCCCGCACGCCCCCCCCCCCCTACTGGGGACCAAGCCCGAAACCTGGGCATGTGCCCTTGACCAGAATCGAACCCAGGACCTTTCAGTCCACAGACTGACACTATAGCTACTGAGCCCAACCAGCTAGGGTGGGTGCTGTTTATTGTTTTGTCCACATTTTGTAAAATCAACCATTAATTTAAAAACAAAACCCTTAAAAGTCATGCTTATCCATTTTGCAAATGACCCTAAACTTGGAAAATGGCAAATAAAAAAGATGGTGTGATCAAGATTTAAATGATTTTGACAGATCAGAAAGCTGAGCTGCAACCGACAAGACGAAATGGAAACTATTACTGTACTTAAGTACAAAATACGTGAACCTGAAGATTCAGGATGAAAGGTGCATGGCATTGTCCCAGTTCGTGTGAAAAAGGTTTGTTGCAGAAACCAGGTAAGATAATACGGTTTTTGCTGTACAATCAGAAAAAAAGGTAGTCATGACCTTGAGAGATAATAGCAGCCCTTGGTACTCTGTCTTTATCTCCTCTGAGTCACTGTAAGATCCTCGAGGCATAGATCTGTCCACCTGACTCTCTGGTCCCGGTGCCTGGCCCACATAGGTCTCCACGCATAGTTGATGAGAGGATGAAGAAATACTGAACTGAATGCAGGCACCCCACTGTCAGAGGGAACATTTAAAATTAAGAGTCCATCTTGCTCTGGCCAGTGTTTTCCAGTGGTTAGAGCATTGGCCCGCGTACCAAAGGGTTGCAGGTTGGATTCCCAGTCAAGGGCACATACCTGGGTTGTGGGTTCGATATCTGGCCCTCGTCAGGGTGCATACAGGAGGCAACCAATCAATGTGTCTCTCTCACATTGATGTTTCTCTCTCTCCCTCTCTCAAAATCAATGCAAAAAAATATCCTCAGGTGGGGGGTTCTGGGTATGATTAACGGGGCCACAGAAAGCTCGGGCTGAATGTGTGGGATGAACCTCATTGTGACCTGAAAATATCCAGAGGGAAGTCACGGGAAGGAGAAGGACTGTGCATCTTGGTCCAGAGCCCAGAACTGTACTTCTGGGTTAGAGAGGCAGGTTCAGGCTCCACATAAGGACCTTCTCACGGTGAGAACCGGCTGCGATGCAAGACGGACAGCCACGCACGGCAGTACATCCTCTCCCACTGAAGAGTTCCGGCAGCGCTAGACAGGTTTGAGAGGCTCCCTCTACCGAGGAAAGAATTTTATTTCCCCCCAAGTAATGTTTATTAGGTTTCCTCAAGCACAGAAACGTATGAAAGAAACAAAAATGGTCCATAACCCACCACCGAGGAAACTACCAAAGGTGAAAAAGAAACGTTTTGAAAAGTATTTAGGCCCTGGTCGGTGTGGCTCAGTTGGTTGGGTGTGGTCCTGTGCACTGAAAGGTTGCTGGTTCAATTCCCAGTCAGAGCACATGCCTGGGCTCAATCCCCAATAGGGGGCGTGCAGGTGGCAGCCAATGGATATTTTCCTCTCTCTGTAAAAATTAGTAAGAAGAAAAAGAAAGAAGGGAAGGAAGGAAGGAAGGAAGGAAGGAAGGAAGGAAGGAAGGAAGGAAGAAAGAAAGAAGAAAGAAAGAAAGAAAGAAAGAAAGAAAGAAAGAAAGAAAGAAAGAAAGAAAGAAAGAAGAAAGAAAGAAAGAAAGAAAGAAAGAAAGAAAGAAAGAAAGAAAGAAAGAAAGAAAGAAAGAATAGGAGAGAGAGAGAGAAAGGAAGGAAGGAAGGAAGGAAGAAAGAAAAGTATTTAAAACACTATTTTAAATTCTACCCATTGAAGTTTAAATTGCTGGTGGAAATGGATGCTGTAATTTTTAGCTGGAGCCAGGTTATGGAAGGTCTTGACTATCTGGCCCCCAAATCTAGTTTTTATTCGATGTTCTCAAGTAGCTTCTTGTCTTTAGGGCCAATGCTGGCTTTCAAAAGCTGAAATGTTCAACCAAACAAGTTGTTCTGAGAAACATCTGTGGGTAGCTTGCAGCCATCAAGGATCATATAACTTGAAACTTCACACCTTCTCAGAGCAGAGATTTCCGGAAAGAAATGAATCGCATTTATTGCCAAGCCTGCTGGGTTTGTTTCTTTAAACATAAATCTCCACAACATCCACCCAAACCTGCATTAAATTGTCAGAATTGAGTCTATAAAGTAATACAAGTCCTCTCTTGGGGTTGCAGCCAGGGAGCCCGTTTATCAGGCCCTGGCTGCCTTCCTTGTCACTTGGTGGAGGAGGGAAGAACAGTTTTTATGAGCAAGTCCTCCAAGACAGCATGCCTTAAAGTCAGAACTCGGTGCCTGTGGTGCATGGCTATTGGTCTGTCAGCTCAGGATGGCATCCCTCCCTTCTTCTGGATGCCATCTTCCTTCAGATCTCGCCCCCTAGGCCAGTGATTGGTAGAGTGGTAGGCCCCTGGCCCCAAATAAGCCAATCACATTATTCAATCTGTTACCACTGTAATTGGTACAAAGATCCACCCCAAACTGGGCCAAAGGCAAGAGGGGCATCCCTCTCAGATGATGGAGCTGAAGGTGGGAGCCTGAGAGTCCTGGTTGGCCATATCATCCATGCCTGGCAGAAACCCCCCAAGGAATGAAGACAATTCATGGTATGACATTCTGTGTTTCCAAAAAATGGCCACAGTATTATTTCTCATCCCACATGCTTTTCCAGAACCTGGCCACTCCCCATCAAGAGGTGGAGTTTATGACTGTCCCCATTCCTTAAACTGGGTGGGTCTTTGTGACTGCCTTCACTGAGAGGGAAGGACAGAATGTTACTATCTGATGTCTGAGGCTAGCTCATAAGAGGAAATACAGCTTCCTCCTGGCTCTCTCTCCCATGCTTGTCCTTGGAATCGAGCCCTCAGCCCAGCTGATCTCCCAGCTTGCAGCACCACTTGCCAGCGTGATGGAGCCACCCTAGAAGCAGATCCTCCAGCCCCTAGTTGAGGATTCCAGCTATCACCACGTGGAGCAGAGATGAGCCTTCCATTCTCTGCTAAACCTTGTCTTAAACACACACACACACACACACACACACACACACACAAAACAAAAACAAAACTATAACAACAGAATTGCCAAATTTAATTTTGTCAGATTAGACCATTTAAAAATATGTCAACTGCTATCTACTCTTACTACAATCTTATATAAGAAAAGATATTTAAACATTAAAAATGTAGGAAGGATATCATCTCAGAGTTAAGAGTCCTTTATATTGAACACATTTGGTTTTATGAAAAATTTACCACATTGACTTTTTTTTCCCTTGCCACTGTGGCGTAGTGAAAAGTTCATCATAGCCAGGTATTGGTTCCCAAAGCTTGGACATTGGAAAGTTGCTGGGTACTATGGGGAGGGGAGTAAAGTCGAATATAGCACAGTCTGCCCTCAAAGAACTAACTTAAAAAAACCCTAGGGTGGTGGATAAAAGGCAACTCAGTTGGGGTGGCTGGCCCTTCCTAGCAGTGTTTTGTCCAGAGCTGTCCTTCTCTGGAGAGACCTAGATGTTAACTGACGGCCTTTGTTTCACAAAGCAGTATTGGGTATAATGGGTAAGTTTGCAGATTTGAGAATCAGAAGTCAGGTTTAAATTTCAGTGTCACTCACTTTTTTTATTTTTTTAAGCTTGGGCAATGGACTTCTCAGTTTCCCTGATTGCTAAACAGAAACGTCTTAGATTGACTTTCCCAGAAATAGACCCTGAGGCCAGGATTCAGGTGAAAGTATGTATCCGGAAGTGTTCCCAGGAAAAACCCGTGGAGGAGTCAGATGCTGAGACAGGGAAGGGAAGAGCAATATGGAGCCAAATCCCCGGGTCATTCTGGCTCACTTCCAAAGGGCTAAGGACACCAGGCATTTACAGAGGCTCCCAGTAGCCTGAGGGACTTTCTGGGACAAGGTAACCAAAGAGACTCCGGTGCTGGCTAGGGAGCTTGTGTGCAGGGAAGGAGTAATGAAAGCCATGGGGATGTAGGACACAGATAGCACCAAATAGGGGATAATAACAGTACTTACCACCTCATTTTGTCACTGTGCCTGGCTCTTGGTCACTACTTAATTTAAAAAGAAGAAAGAGGAGGAGGTTGAGGAGAAGAAGGAAAAGAAAAAGGAGGAAGGGAAGGAGGAAGGGGAGGACAGGTAGAAGGTCTGCTTGGGAGTCTAACACCCCGTGTGGCTGTCACTCATAAAGGGAAGAAGCAGGACTGGGAGGCTCAGACTCATTTCTTCAATCTTCGTGACCAAAGCAGAAGGCGAAACAGCTTGGGTAGCTAGGCCTCCTTTCCTCTCCAGTCATGTTTTGTTTTTGTTTTTTTAAGATGATGGAACCATTTTCTTTAATGCTCTAAAGAATGGATTTACAAAGCTAAAAATGATGATGTCCAGAGAACGCAAAAGTCCCATGCCAGTTGGTAATGAAGACACACAAGGTTTGAGCTCCAAAGAGAAACTTATTGACAGGTTTTTCCATTTCATACGAGGACAAAGAACACGCTCTAGGAGAGACCTCCTAGGCAAGGCTCAACCCTTTCAGGAAACCCTTAACCCACCTCTGAGTTTGGGTGAATGAGATCAGTCCACTTCTGTCTTTCTCTCCCACCCCACCCCAAATAGTACCTGATGAGTTGGACAAAGCTGTACTCTTTGAAAAAACAGTGTTGGTTATCAACTTACCACTTCTCAGCTCCAAGTACACTCTTCGATATATGCTCTGTGATCAACAACAGAATTCTTGTAAGCGTTCTGTCGAGTTGAGCATGATGTCAACCAGGCTTTCTCTGTAGAGGGCGCAGGAGGAACACTGAGCAGGAAGAGGCCCTCTTGCCTTTACTGGAGTCAACCTGTAGGTGTATGCACTTGGAGGACCTCCCATAGAGCCTGCCCCAGCCACGGGCCCAGAACGCAGTCCCTCTGTGACATTACGGCTTCGGCCTGGCAATAACCTTTCATGACCTTCTTGACATGGAAACCAAAGCCCCCGTGTAGCCTACGTGCTCCGAAGCATCCTGCCCTGAATGGACTCTCACTCCCTGCTCACGCCGCCACAACCTGGGCTGCATATAGGTAAAAGGAAAATATATTTGTTAATATATACATAACATGTATACTTTATATATAATGTGTATATATGTTATACATATGTTATGTGTATAAATATAATGTGTAATAAAATTCACATTTTTAGTCTTATTCTTATGAATCACTTTTCAATCCAGAGTTTTTATGTAAACGTTTTTCAATTGATTTCAGAGAGGAAGGAAGAGGGAGAGAGAGAGAGAGAGAGAGAGAGAGAGAGAGAGAGAGAGAGAGAAATATCAATGATGAGAGAGAATTAGCAATAGGCCCCACTCTGGCGATCAAGCCTGCAACCTGGGCATGTGCCCTGACTGGGAATCGAGCCACCTGGCCTT